GGTGAATTCTCTATCATGCACAGTATCTGGCACTAGGAAATACATTTAAATGTTTGAATCAATGCAGAGACGATAGAACTGGGTTTTCAGGAAACATTTGGAACATCTGAAAGCTGTAGCAGTAATGCCTATAATAATAGGTGTGAACAAAATGGACCAGCCTCAAAAACATTTGGTGGGGAATGCCATCTGGATGCAGGGGTTCTTTAATTGTTGGGGGCAAAGAACAGAATGTTTCCAGCAGAGGTGATTTGAGATAAAGTCATTCTGCTGACCAGCAGAGGCATATGGAGAGAAAAGAGGGAAGGTTATAAGTACAAGGATGCATATTTGAATTTACTCTGAAACATTTAAGCAGATATGTCTAACAAATGGTTAGTGATATGCTCCACATTTAGACTGTATTACATAATTATATATGACAAATCCTGACCAATATTTTCTGAAGTAACTCCCAGAAATAAGCTACTGTTTAAAAGGAAATAAAAATCAGAAATAACTGGAAAAGGCATGTCCTAATGAACAATTATTTGGGAGATGGAAAATGTCAATGGAATTCTCTGAAGCTAAGAAATATAATGTGCCTATTAGCTCGGGCTGGCTCAATTAAATAAAGGCTGTTCTTTCAGGAGTGAAGTACTTCAGCTAACTGGTTGAGGAGAGACTCAAATGGGAAAACAGTTTTTTTTTAAAATCATAAAGTTAGATATCAATTAGTTCATTCAAAAATAAACATTTCTGTGGTTCTAAAACGTAACTCTCAATTTGCTAAAATCAATTAAGTGTCATTTTTGCCTAAGAAATTTGTGCAGAGGACACTTTTATCCCTTGATAGAAAAAAAAATGAATGCATGGAGTAACACAAAGGGTGTCACAGAGTCGCATTATTAAAGGCTTTAGAATTTGCATGGGTCAAAATCCAGGCCTTTGTGATGGGCTCTGACAGTGAGTCAATAGAACCACACATGTGTTTGTCTCTGGGACAAAGTACTTCAGACTTCCTTGCTAACTTGGGTAAATAGCTTCTAAAGGCCTGCAAAGATCCTGGCTGCTTCTGAAGACCGCCAATTTCAAGTTCCCACCAACTGTTCTTATTGGTGCCATATTATAATCTCAATTCTTTTTTCACTTACCTCCATCACTGATAGCCACATGATTTCAGTTCCTATATATACTATCTGGCTTTTAGACCAGTTTCTTGTTACAATACTGAATACTACAGCCTGGCATTTTCAATTCTGGAATTCTTATTGAATCTGCTTTTTTGGCCAGGGCCTTATCCCTCATATGTCAAGATAAAACATGAATGAAGAATTAGAGTTAAGAATTTTAGTTGGAAATTAGTCCAGGATGCCTATTTTGAGTATTGATTGATTGATTGATTGGTTTGGGAATTGAACCCAGAGGCACTTTACCACTAAGTTACATTCTCAGTCCTTTTTGAATTTTTTTTTTTTTTTTAGTTTGAGGTAGGATCTTGCTAAATTTCCAAGGCTGGCCTTGAACTTGTGATCCTCCAGCCTCTGCGTCCCACACTGTTGGGATTACAGGTGTGTACCACCACACCAGGTCCTATTTTAAGTCTTGCTGGTTTAGATGAATATGAGCCACAGATGATTTAAACTACATAGTGCAGTACTGAACAATGGTTACACACACCGGTCTTGGGATCAGGCAGACCTGGGTTGTAATCCTAGCTCTGTTACTTACTCTCTGTCTGATCTTGGGCAAATTGCTATCTATGTGATTTTTGTCTCCAAATTGGGATAATAAGAATACTTACCTTGTGGGCTATTGTGAAGATTAAATAAAATGGTTTAAGTAAATCCTTTAGTTTAGTTCCTGACATACATCAAATGGCAGTTAGTATAGAGTAGCTTCAGGTTTTGTTGTTGCTGCTGTTTGTTCTGGGAATAAAGAGAAGCCCTGTTCTTTTTCACCCTGTTCAGATTATTTTTTAGGCTTAGTTATGGACTAGGATAAGTAATAGGAGAAAAGCAGTATTTCTGCCCTGGAAAGACAGTGTTCTTTCTGCTCCAAGAGATTCAAAGGATATTTCATGACAAAGTAATTCTAAAAACGATAGCAGTATGCAGTGCTTCTGAAATACCAATTTTCTGAAGACAGAATTATTACAAACTGCCATCCTGTACTGAGTGATGGTAGAAAATAATATTTATTTTAGTGTCTAAAAACCTCCTGAACTTCTCCGTACTTATACTCAACACCATGTGCTTCATACTAAGTCCCACTTGCTTAGTACTGGCCTACACGGATGTAGGGACTCGGTCCTCACCTGGTGGGCTTGTTGTAAGAGTTCCATTCTCTCCTGGAGAATCTGACAGTCATACTCTCTGCTCTTCCTCAGCATTTGCCGCCGTAACTTTTCTACTGCCGTCCTCAGCTCCTCTTGTTGTTTTTCACTTAATAATTCACCAAACTTGATAACAGTTTCTTGCTGCAGAGCATTGTACAAAGTAGCTTCTAGTTCCTGGATTCTCTGGCAAATAGAATTAGAAAGGTCTAACTTTGGAATGGAGCATTTATGTGTAGTGTGGGAATGTACAGGTGTGGGTGGATATGCACATGGAGGGGTGCCTGAGTCTCCCTGGATCCTGGTGATAGAAGACATTTCAAAGTTTCTCCAGCCCAACTACCCTTCTGGATATTCCTCTTATGAGGGAAGACCACCTGTGAACTGCTCTAGTGGCAGAGATTCATTCATTCTCAGTCTTAGGATCCTGACCATTTCATATACTTTTCATCTTTAGAAAGCCCTTTGTTAAAATAGCCATACCTCCCTCTATTCTCAAGTATAGCTGAGAAAATAGGTTTATTCTCTCATTTAAAAGCCTTTTAGAAATTTAAAAGCATCATGGTGGCCATTCTTTTAGAATTAAGTGATCTAAGTTGGAACAAAATACTTGAAATTGAAGATATGTTTCATCCACAAAATGCTGCCTTTCTTTCACACAACAATTCTCTGTACTTGAAGATGGCTCCATGGTCTCCATGTTTTTTTTTTTCCTTGAAATAAAAATTGGGGAATATGATTCAAATATGGCTTAGATTCTTGGAATTGGTCTGTTTGTAATACACTGAGATTTATGGTAGCTCTAGTGCTAACATTTCTTTGTGAATCCTTGTTTTGAGAGATAAAAAGATTCTACTGTCTCTTACAGCTCAGGGTTTGTACTTGTATTTTTATACTCTTCAGATACAGTTGCCAAAAATCTATAATTGTATCTCTTGTGATTTTTGACAGGAGTAACTGAGCATGTCTTGATGGGGATATTTTTCTAGCTCTTAGCCTTGACTAAGCATATCTGTCTTTGAAAAGTTAAATATGGTTTTCTAAATGAGGACTCAATATTTTTGGGAATCACATACATACCCAGCTCAATTTTAGTATGTATAGGTAAAAAGAGACAAGGGTGAAAGGGTAGGAAGGGAGGGGAAAAAAAATCACTTGCTTCTTTGTTCTCTAAGTAGTAACCAATTGTCATTCTCTTCTTTTCCTTTCAAACAATGCCAGAGTCTCTTATTCATTTTGTAGAGGAAAGACTAATTCATTTTTGTTATAATAAGGGGCTAAGTGTATCACTCTTCCCCCAAAGTGACTCAGTCTGCTTCCAGGAAAGCATTATAAAAACCTCTGTTAGCAGCTTTTGAAATATTCCTCTGGTTTGTTCTTTTTCTTTTGATTTATTACTATGAATTAATGGGGGCAGGGCACGAGGAGAAAGGAAATATAAGTTGGAGTCCAATATTAGCAATCCTGCAATATGAATTGATGGAGAAGAAATCAAACATGAGTCTCTATCAGCATTATCTGTGGGGGAGGAAAAGGCAGAGTCCACTTCCCGACATACCCTTATTGCTGTGCCTGGATTAGGGTAGCTAAGACCGCAGCATCTAAAGCCAGACCTATACAATACCCACTGACTGGCCTAGGAAAGTTTTGTTTTACTCTCAAGACTTTCCTTATATGTAACATAGTAATAGTGATATCCATGTCTTACAAGGTAATTATAAGAAATAAATTAAAAAATGCATAACAAACATTAAAAACATTATTATTCTACCACTAGATTAGACTCCCAAATGTCTAGGTTGCTTAAATAAAAATTCTTTTTCATCTAAACTGCCATCCAATGTGTCTCAATATTATTTAACAACTTAAATTTAATTTTTTAAAAATGAAATATACTTATCTAACATTTTAAGAACACTATAAAAGAAAAGAGTGAGGATGTTCTAAAATTAGAACCAGAAACCAATAAGTATATGGCCTGTACATTGTGGTCTGCTCAAATACACAGCATGACCAATTAAGTAGGATCCCTGATTCCATAGTGTACAATTGTAAATTCTCTGGATGGCTCCATTGCCTGCTGTACTTACCATATATGCTTGGTCGAGAGCTTGTTTTCTGTAGTCTAGTTCTTCTTCCAGATAGCCTTTTATTTTGCAGAATTGTTCCTATAATAAGGGCCACATTGATAAAGAAAAAGAGCTTAGTTAAATAGAAAGTGGTATATAAATCACACTGATTAATGTTTTCACGAATTCCAATGAAACAACAAATCACTGGTATTTGTAGAATCAGAGACTTTTGTTAGGGAAAGAGTCTAATGTTCACAGTCTCACACAGGGAATATGAAAATCAATAGACTGAGGTATAAAAGACATAATGAAAAATCCACATGGAATGCTCCAAGATTTTTATTGGAGACAATGTGATTAAGCACAGATTTTGACAAGCTATGTGTTAAATAATAAGTCCATTTGTGTAAATATGGTCAGGTCTGCATCCAGATTCAACCAAATGCAGAGTGAAACTACTCGAAAAATTGTACATCTGTACACCTAGAAACTTTTTCTCTTATTATTTGCTATAAAAATACAGTATAAAAACTAATATGCAGCATTTACATTATATTAGGTTATAACAGATAATCTAGACATGAGGTCAAGGATATAAGATGATGTGTGCCAGCTATATGCAAATACCGTGCCATTTTATATAAGCAACTTGTCCATCTGTGAATTTTGATTCAGCAGGAGGTCCTGGAACCAAAGTCCTATGAACACAAAGGGACTACTCTATATCGTGATAGAATATGTTCTTAAGAATATTGTGAAATTTGTATGATAAACAAATTTAACTTACTGAAATTTGTCTGTGTACGATTAGCAAACTCAGACACAAATAACATTGTGGTGGGGTGGGCAGTTGTGCCTACGCTGCCCCTTGATGAGCAGGTGTCTGCCCTTGCCTCAGACCTGCTGTGAGCTGGAGACAGCACTGATGCTTCCTCCCTTGCTCCCAGTTTCAGTGGGCTTCTCATTTCCTGGACATTGTGCCATTAGGATTTAAAACTGCATCTTTGTGTACAGCATAGTCACAAGTGAAAGTCAATTATTTATTTGGGTGCTTAATTGAAGGGATAGGGACCTTTTCCTGTCCTGGGGAAGCCTCAGTGGTGCAGGACTTTGAGATAACATGAAGCAATTTTGCTGTTGACTTTCTTGATCACCCCTGGGTTCCACTGCCTACAGCCAGCTGATACAGGCTGATTGTTTCATTAGTAACTGTGCATTTCAAGAGCTTTCAAGGGTAATTTTGAACATAGACATTTCTTGTTGTATGTTTTGACTATAGAGTCTATTCCTTTTGGTAACTTTACATAGAGCCTAAGTAAATGATTTATGTGCTGTAAAAATACAAGTTGTTTTAATTCTCTGACAGGAATACACTATATGTTTTTTAATGATAATGAGAATATTTATGAATTCTGTCATAAAATTTTATACATTGCTGTAGGTTAATAATAGCCAATTCTGACACTTGGGAATTTAATTTTTAAAATCATACTGTACTACACATAAAATTTACCATTGTAACCATTTTTAAATGTTCAGTTCAGAGTTGAGAAGCATATTCATATTGTTATGCAACTAATGTGCAAACATTTTTCATCTTGCAAAACTGAAACTAGTCTCATTAAATACCTTTCTATTTTTTCTTCCTCTCAATCTTTGGTAACAACAATTTCTCTCTCTCTCTCTCTCTCTCTCTCTCTCTCTCTCTCTTTACAAATCAAATAGTGATTTTGTTATTTTTACTTATTTTGTAATTGGTGCATGATGACTAGACATAATAGTAGGATTCATGGTCACATATTTGTACATGCACCTAGAATAATTTGAATTTCATTCTTTCTATGTGTTTGACTACTCTGGTTACTCACATGAGTGGGATTATACAGTACTTGTCTTTTTGTGACTAGTTGATTTAATTGAACACAGTGTCATCAAAGTTCATCTACACTGTAGCTTATGTTAGACTTTCTTCCCTTTTAAGGCTGACTTATATTAGAAATATGCCATATTTTGTTATCCAGTCACCCATCAATGGACATTTTGATAACTTTCACCTTTTGACTATTGTTAATAATGTCACTATGACTATGAGTGCACAAATCTCCCAGACCCTACTTTTAATTCGTGTGTGTGTGTGTGTGTGTGTGTGTGTGTGTGTGTCCAGAAGTGATATTGCTGGAGTGTATGATAATTCTGTTTTGAATTTTTTGGGGTAATCACCATACTGTTTTCCAGAGGGGCTGCACCTTTCCCAATAGTGTATAAGGAATCTGATTTCTCCATATTTTTTTCCAACATTTGTTGATTTCTATTTTTTTTTAAATAATAATCATCCAAACAGATGTGAAGTGGCTTGGTAATTTAAGTCATCACACTTTCAGTCACCATTTCTATAATTTTTACTTGATAATTCTATGTAGCAAAGAAATTAGCCTAAAAAAGAAAACACCTTATTCAATTTTCTGCAGCTTTAGTTTTGTAAATATCACCAAAATACGTAAACTGCTCTTTTTGGAGAATATAACTTGAAATTGTTGAATACTTCTCAAATTTTATTCCACAGTTTGTATGCAAACAGGGAAATTACAAACTTCCATCAGTGCTGGATCAAACCAAAGAGGCAACTTTCATTTTCCATTTGCCTTGTAAATGTTTGCTAACTTTCATGGTACTTTGTCTTTGCACTCACCATGTCACTTTCCAATTCCATCATTTTCTGGTGTAGGGCGGCCTCTGCTCCTTCAATCTGCTGGATCCACTAGGGATTAACAAGATAAAACATCTGATATGACTGAGTGATCTGGCATGCACCTTGCAGGCTGCTAATGGGCTCCTCATTCCTCAGTCTCCCCACTTTAGATCTTAGCAGGCTGAGAACTCTAGTGAAAACTTAATGCATTTTCTTTTCTCTTGGTTCAGATACAAGGCTAGAGTCTTCCCTGCTTGTTTAATTCAACAAATGCCTTCACTGACATCTGTCTCTCATCAGGCACTATGCTTAGTGCTAGGACTGCAATGGTGAACAAGACCAACCAGGCTGTTGCTCCCACTGGAGGACACCTTGGGAGGCTCTCCTGGAAGTTGCAATTGCACTGAGGTCTAAAGTAAGAGTGAAAGATACCTGGGGGATATTTGCAAAGGAAATCCCCAGCAGAAAGGACACTATATCCAGGTTGGAGGAAGGATAATAAGTAATAGTGATTTTTTAGTAGGAAAAACTGATTAGAGCAAAGTGATAAATAATTATTTTTAAGTGGAGGCATTTCTAATAAATCACATATAAAGGACTTATCTTCCTAGTGTTCAGAACATATACTTCTGTTATATGGTATTGATGTTAGCATTGAAAAACACCCTGAATGATTTTAAACTATGACTAATACAGTGTGAGCGTACCGCGTATATGGTTTATTATAATGGGTCTCTATCAAGTTAACCAACAGCTGATGTGTTAGAAAGGCAACTGGGCTTAATGGTTAAGTGTGTGGACTCTGCAGGGAGACTACCCTAGCTTTCTAGTTTTTCATGTCTGTGTGGTGTTAAAAGCTAACCTGACCTCTCTGTTTCAAGTTTCTTATCCATATAGTGGGTTAATAGTAATGTGAAGGTTAAAGAAAGAAAATCCACATGAAGCACTATTCATCAAGTGCTGCATTTACTCATGTTCTTCTCCACCAGGTACATTATGTGTTACACAGAGCACTTCAGCATAGTAGAGCCTTAGTGGTTACAGGCAGACATCATGTTCAGCCACCCTTTGGTGGTGTTTCTTTCCCTATAGGCTGGAAAGATACTCTCCACATCCTTTGTACATACATATGGCTTCTTGAAAAAATTTCAAAGCCACAGTTTATTTATACTGTTGAGTTTTACTAAAATATTTCTTTTTGCTTATGGCTCATTTGTCATAGAGAAGCAAGTTTGTTTTTTAAATCAGGTTTTTGAGAGTACTGTGAATCTTTAATTATGTGCTTTAGCATAGATCCTTATGTTGAGTCCTGCCCCTTACAATTCTGTGCAATCCAGGACAAGTTACTGAATACCCTCAGTCTTGGTTTCCTCATGCATAAAGTGAAAATAGAGACATCTGTAGACTGGTTGTGAGAAACAATGAGATAACATATGTACAGTGTTTACTGCAGTACCTGGTCTGTGTTCTCTCATGTAAACTCACTATTAGTATATTTTAATTTTAAAGATAGAACTTCCATATAGTACAATGCTATTCAAATTCATGGTTTCAGAAAACTCAAGGCTGACATTCAGAAATACTTGGGAGTAGAATCTTATCTGTGAGTCTCCCAAAGTAGGAAGTGACTTTGAATCTGTGAAATGCAAAGATCTGCTCCAAAAAGCAGTTGCATCCAGTATGAGCACTTTAGGGCAGATTATGTCTTATTCATCTGGTTCCTCAGTTTCTAACCCAGTGCTCAGCTCATAGCCATCACTCTGTGTTTGTTCAACTGAACCCCACAGACACCTGACTTGCAAAGGAGGTAAGTAGAGGCATGCACCAATTCACCATAGTGCTAATAACTCAGCTCCCATCTGCTAGACAAGGTCTACTGCCTGCTTTTAATATGATGCCTGATGAGGAGTTTGATTATGATTAAACATTAAGATTATGGAGTTTGGGTCTTGACACTGACTCTAATCAACTTCTAGCTGTGTGACCTTGTGCAGTCACACAGAAGAAGACCTACCTTCTCTGTGCTTCAGATTCTCTTTGTAATATTGAGATGATAATAATGCTTAGAGTCAACAGTTAATGCTCAAAAGAGACACAGTGCAAGTGTTCATTGTGATTGAATGTACTTTGCATCACACACAGGGCATCTATGGATTTAGATTGTTGAATCTAAATAAATATGAAGCACACAGGTCATTTTTCTTTTCATCTCTCTAGTCTATACCTTTCATAGAATTACCCCCATTTTCTTGGTAGTTTTCAAGGCAGTTTTTCTTGCACTAAAGAATTGCAGTCCATCATAACTCAACTTCATGAGACTCTCTACCATTACTAAATAAATACTTAGAACTGGCGGGACGATTATGTTTTCTCCCTTTGGGTCACAGGAACTGTATCCTGTGAGCATTCACAAATTCATGTGTTTACTTCTTCAATGAACACTTTCTGATCACCTATTCACCTGCTGTTCTGGTTGGAAAGCTTGGAGGGGAAAGAGGAGGGAGTAAAGGAGACCATTTGGACCTCATAGGGCTTAGAGTCCAGTGGCAGGTAGATGGGGAAGGGTAGCAAAAGGAAGAAGTAAATGGGAAGGTGCAATGCAGTAGTTAAAATCCCAGGAGCAAAGCACAGGCCAGTGTGAAAACACTGAGAACAGGTTGAGAGCAAAGCCCTGCCTGGGGAAGCCTTCTGATTAGGATTTAGCCAGGAAGGCACATGCCTGGAATCCCAGGCTGGAGCAGCAGGATGGTAAGTTCAAGGCCACCCTGGACATCTTAGTGAGAACCTATTTCAAATTCTAAAAAATGGGCTGGGGACGTATCTCAGTGGTAGAGTGCCTGCCTAGCATGTGCCAGACCATGGGTTCAATTCCTAGCACCCCATATACATATAAAAATTTAGCCAGACATAGAGAAAATAGGAAGATGGGAGCATCTTCTAGGTAAGAAGAATGGGGTAAAGGAACTAGGAATAGAGACAGAGATGGAGGAAGAAAGGGAGCAAGTGAAGAAGAGGTGCTGGAAAAGTAAGTAGTAAGTTAAATCCCAGGGGGTCCCCTTGTCAAAGTTTGGATTCTGGACCTGGATTTTGGGTTAGGGACAATGTGCTGCTACTAATCTGCTGGGGAAAGGAGAGGGAAGCCATTGGGTTAGTAAGTAAACTGTCAGATTTTAAAAGAGCAAAGCACAGCTTTCACATCATTTCACATGTAAGCACTCCAACATGCACTTCTTTCAGATAAAGCCTTAAAAAGACAAAAGAAAA